GGATGGGCTTCTTGGCAACGTTCAATAGAAACAGAACAGATCACAGATCCAAAGAACCCCTGTAACATTTTGACTTGTATCTGAACGGATTTCAATAGGAACGGGGTAGATCCTAAATCCAGAGGGCTCCTTTGGGAATGAAGAGGGGTCTATCGGTTTTCGTAGAAAGGGGGCAGATCCCAGATCCAACAATTTCCTATCACACTTGATCCGGATTCTGCCATAATGCCGCTAGAAATGAAGCAGGCCCCACATCCACGTGATTCCGATTGAATTTGAATCGGGCTTGTATGCGATTTCAATAATAGGAACGGGTCGTGATCCCCAGTCCATCGGATTCCTCTTGAATTTGGGTGGGCTTCTACGCAGCCTTCAATAGAAACGGAGCGGATCCCAGATCCAACGGATCCCTGTCGAGTTTGAATCGGATTCTCCAGGATGTTAACAGGAACGGAGCAGATCCCAGATCCAGAGGTTTTTTGTTGGATCTGCATGGGTTTCTTTCGGATCCCGATAGAAACGGATCATATCCCAGATGCGAGGACTTCCTATTGAATTTGAATGGGTTTCTGATGGGATGTCAATGAGCCGATCCATGATCCAGAGGGCTCCTATAGAATTTGGGTCGGGGTCTCATCGCATGTCAATCGAAGCGGAGCGGAGCAGATCCTAGATGCCATATCCAGTAGGAGGAAGAGGAAGAGGAGGAGGAGGAGGAGGAGGTGAATGAGAGCAGGAGCAAGCCAGGAACGGGGGCAAGGACGGGAGGAAGAAGGGAGGAGCAGGGTGAGTGGCGCAGGCTTCACAGGGCTTAAGATGGGGAGCAGTCGAGGGAGCGCGCCCAAGGCGGCCCTGCGAAAGGATTTCAGGCTGAAAGCAATGCACTGGGCGTCGCTCGGACGTGTGCATTTTTTCTCGGCGTGGAACATCGAGGAGCATCTTTGATCATCCAGCGAAAAAAAACACGCACGACATCGACAAATGAACGGGGAATGGACGCCCGAGCGATGGCGAGATACAGGGGCTGTTGTCTGACGGAAGCCATGCGAAAACACAGACATTCCATGTATGTTTGAAGCATTCGGTGAGGCAATATTGTGAACACACGAAATCTCCCAACCACGTTTGAAGGTCTTGGTACGGAGGAGCTCATATACAGCACGGGTATTTCAAATACTTTGAGTTGTTCTGGTTACGGGCGCCCTCCTCCTCCTGCTCCTTCTCCGCCTCTGCGCAACCCCAGGGACAATGCGCCGGGCAGGAGAACAGATGAAGACACAGGACTGCCATATACTTTGTAGGTCGTGGTAAGGAATCCAAGTGAACCACCGCCATTCCATAAACACACACATATATATATGTATATGGATATATCTATATCTATATCTATATCTATATCTGTATATATATAGATGTATATATATGTACACTGTGTACATGTATACGCATGTCTATTGTTGAAGGTTCAGGAAACCTTTACTTTGACGCATATGTCATGCACCTGTAAGGTTTCTGGCGGCGGGCGCCGAAGCCCCCCCACGCCTCTTTGCAGCACGCTCGTCTCCAGAACACCTGAGCATGTATGGAATGTCCATGTTTTGAACGGTTTCCTTACCGACACCTCTTACCATTAATTTGATTATCTATGTTCCGCACAGGATTTCCTTACCAACACCTGGGAACACATGTGGAACACATGCTTTCGACGGTTTTCCTGCCTGGCGCATTGCCGCTGGGGCTGGGGGAGAAGAAGGAGCAGGACGAGAGGGAGCGCACGTCGCTATAGCATTTTAACATACATTGTTTCTTGTTTAATTCTTACCTGCTTTCCGTGCCAAGATCTTCAAACATGTTTGGAATATCTATGTTGGTTTGTGTTTTTTGGTTTTACCAGCGCCCAGAGACACATGTGGAATATACGTGGTTTAATCGGTTTTCTTGCCGGGCGTATTGTCCTTGGGGGGCCGGGAGGAAGAGAAGGAACAGGAGCAGGAGGAGGAGGAGGTGGAGGAGAAGGACGAGAGCGACAGATATTGAATGATACCACGACGAAGGAGGACGCAGAAGAGGAAGGAAAAGAAGAAGCCGAGGATCAGAGGGGAGATGTATGATATTTGGGGGACCACATATGTGCATATGCATTTGAATACATGTATGTGTGTGTGGGGGGATATAAGCGTTTGTGTATGTGTGTACTGGCCAGCGCGGATACTGAACAGTTTGCTGTAGCAATATCTTTTTCACCATCAAGGCGAGACGATCCATGTGTTGCAGCCTATGTGGTGCAACAGACGGTGTGCAGCCTATGTGTGGTAATGCATGTTGCGCAACGGATGAGGAGTGAACGATGGTGCGCAACCCATGTGGTGCAGTCTATGTTGTGCACTGTAGGTTGCGCAGAATCTGGAGCAATCTATGTGGTGCAGTTCGCCCTTTTGAACTTGAAGCTGTCAACTCCAGTCCTCGCGCAGTCATCCCACCCACCCGCCCGCAACTTGGTTTGCAAAACCCATGCGGCGGCGATTGCGATGATTGCTTGGCATTGGCTGGCACATTCTTGTGGCCGCGGCCGCGCCAGCGCGCGGAGGCTCGCGCGCAGAGCGTCAGCTAGTCTGGCGCGACCGACACGGCCGCGCTGGCGCTCGGGCACTCCAGTGCCAGTCGGTGGCTCGTGCGGGCGCGATATCATGGCGACTTCGACAACGGCGCGCACAATACTAATAATCATAATAATAACGATACTGGCGGCGATGATGACAACGAGGGCGGCATGGCCAATGACGGCGCCGATGCTGATCACGCCGATGACGATGATGGTATCCACGTGTTGGTGATGAAGATTTTGGAGGGATTTCGACATGGGCGCGCGGCCGGCACGTGCGAGTGGTCCGCGTAGTAGTCTTTGACAGGGACCGTGCCATTCCAGCGCGCGCGAGGGCGTTCGAAGGATGTCGCCCTGCGCGCGCGGGAGGCCCGCTTGGTCGCAGTTGGTGAAATTGTTGAGAAGATTGTGGCTTTCCCCCAAGAAGTCGAAAGAGCGCGCGCGCAGATTTGCTTTGAAAAATCAGGTTGGCATTTTTTCGTTCAGCCCGATTTTAAATTACTTCCTTCGTTTTTTTCCTCTCCAAAGATTCTGGCATGCGCGGGTGACGCCGCGTGTTTTTTTTGGGTCTTGGAAAGTATTACTATTAGTATGACCATTTTTTGTTTATATTTCATTCTAATCATTATCATTATCATCATTATTATTATTAATAATAATATTTTCTAACTAGTATTTTGTTTTTTCCCCGAAACCGATTTTCGGGACGCGTGTTTTTCCCCAATCAGGCTTGCTTCTGTAGGGGTCCTAGTGGATTCATATGGTTAGGTTAGGTTTGCCGCCGATTTTCGCCACACGCCCGGGTGCCCGGGTGCCCAGGGGTGCCCGGGTGCCCGGGTGCCCGGGGGTGCCCGGGTGCCCGGGCGTGCCCGGGGGTGCCCGGGGTGCCCGGGGGTGCCCTATAGCCCTATAGCCCGGGGGTGCCCTACAGCCCTACAGCCCTACAGTTCTATAGCCCTGTAGCCGTATAGCCCTACAGCGGTATAGCCCTACAGCCGTATAGCCCTATAGCTCTATAGTTCTATACCCCTATACCCTATAGCCCTATAGCCCTATAGCCCTGTAGCTCTATTACCCTATAGCCCAATGGTCCTATAGCCCATATAGCCCTATAGCCCTACAGCCCTAAACAGATTATGATTGGTTTTTTTCCCCGGTATCATTTTTTTTTCGAAGCCGATTTTCGGGAATGTCTAATTTGTGATAAAGAAGGGTGCCCGCATATTATTGTTTGGCGAGGATGAGGTGTGTGTGTGTGTGTGTGGGGTCGATGCCGGTTTGTTTGGATTATTATACATGGATGTTGCAAGTGAGCAGTGGGGGAACCAAATGCAAATTGCGCTCGTTTGGGTGGTACCCCAAGGGGGGGCGGTAGATCCGAATTCCTTCTCGACACGGATATCAAATGTGTGCAATCTATGTTGTGACATGCGTCTAGGCGGTGCAATCTGTGTGGCAGATATGTGTTGTGCATCTATGTGTTGCAGTCTATGTGGTGCAATCTAGGTGGTGCAATATTTGTTGTGCGGACTACGTGGCGCACCATGCGTTGCGCAGTCCCTGTGGTGCGATACGTGGTGCGATTTATGGGGTCCAGTCTGAGGTGCAATCTGCGCTGTTAAATACATCGTGTGCTGTCCAAGTGGAGCAATTGATGTGGTGCAAATCGGCGATGCGGCGACGGGGCGGCGACCGCGGCGACACAGCCGTCAGACCGACCTTCACGCCCAGACGAGGTGGCGACGGGGCGGCGACGGCGGCGACGCAGCCGCCAGATCGCCCTTCAGGCCCAGTTCCCCAGAACAGATCAGAACAAAAGTATGACCCGCAGTGTTTTGAAAGCGTGAATATGGTATGTGTATATATCTATATATAGATAAAATACAGACCGAGGCCATATGTCACGTATCCACGGGCAACCGCCAGACAACCGCGAGGCAACTTGGGACCCATCGCCCGCGGACGAGGAGCAATGCTTGATGGCATCCTGCCCCACCAACGCGGGAATCCTTCCCGCTCTCGCGCAGTTTTGCCTCGCACGCACGCGGGTCGTGCACGACACGAACCGAAACCGAAACCGATTTTTTGGTTTAGGGGTCCTGTTCCATGTCGCTGCTATCACCCCGCAAACTCCAACACGGAGCCGCATCGCAGCGCAAAACAGTAGCAACACGCGGGAACGCAAATATGTTCCAAGCCTGGAATTGTTAGACGCTTTCGTGCACACCCAATCAGCGCGATGCAAGCAATGAGCATATGGGGCGTCCTACAGGATCGTGTCGACCCAGTAGGACTCTTATTACACGTGATTCGACTGCACATGGCACAGCGCTGCTCACGAGCGCAGGACATTCGCCCCTGGATCAGCACACGGCCCGTTCTCTCCTTCGCCCCGCAGGACGTCACCGTGCGTCTCACGATGGCCAGCCGCGTGGGCGTGGTCGGAAGGAACGGCGCGGGGAAGTCGACGCTGCTGAACTTGCTGGCAGGACCCTCCTCCCCTTCCGCCCCTCCTGCTCGCAGCTCGCCCGACTTCAGCAGGGGCGCGCGCATGGGGCAGGGCAACGTTGTGCATGCGCGCTCCCGTTGTTGCTGCAGCTGGACCACAGACACTCGTCGTCACGATTTGTTCGTGACGTGTGTTCTGGGCGCTGACCCTTCATCCTGGATAGTTTTTGCTGTTTGGTCCGGGCCTATGGGCCAGAACGGGCTTGCGGAGGCGAAAACCCCTGAAGGGTTGCCCGTCATTAAACACCGCCCCGCACATCCGGCACCACTCCAGCATGCGTCGTGAAGCTTATCACTGCCCTCGCGCACACCGTGGCGCTGGGGGTCTGGGGCTGGCTCTGTCCTAGCCAGCTTCTGGCACGTCGGCCACCCCAGAGAGCCGACGTTGCAATTTGACGTGGCCACCAGAAGTGCCGACATCCTTCCAGGGTCGGCTTTTCATTTTGAGGGTATGTGGAAGGCCCCAGGAGGCCGAAAGCATTATATTTGTATCGCTGTGTTCAGCACGTTGGGGATGTGCCCCCCCGGAATCTCGACCCTGTCCCCTTGGCTTTCTTTTCGGCCTGACATGTTTTTGACTCTTGCATGCCGGCCAATCCGCCTTGTAGTGCCCCTGCATCGCTGCCTCGCTGGATCGGATTGTCCCGCCTCGCCGCCGACGGAAAAAAACAAATGTTTGATTGTCCCGGGGCCAGGAAACCGTGTCGTGAGGCAGGATTATTCACAGATGATTGTTGTTTTCGTATCCATTGTTCTGCCGATCGGCGCGGGCCTTCGCGCCCCCCCTCCCCCCCCCACGGAGCAGATCTTGGCTGCTTCTGGCGCCTGCTTCGGGCCTGTGGAGTCTCCCCCACAGGGCGCACTGTTGCAAACAACCGCGTCAAGCAGAGGTCTGGAGCCAGACCCCCCTCTCCGTCAGGGCTGGACCTGAACTGTGTTTTGGCGATTTCTCGGGCCGTTTCCGTTTCGATTTCGTTTTGCTGTCAAGGCGGATTGAAGACAAAACGAGGGAAAACGAAAACAAAACGAAACCGAAAAACACCGTTTAGGTTCAGCCCTGCTTTCCGTGTTGGTTCGTATCCTTGACCATTCCGTCGAACCGGTTCCGCAGCCTGAGTGTAGCCCACAGTGGGCCGATCGGCGCAGCTCTCGTCGAGCTCTAACCGATGGAATGGGCTTCCACCCTCCAGGGGGCGAAGAGACCATCAACATGGTAAGGGAAGAGTCTGCTTCCCCCCCCCTCCTCCTCCTCCTCCTCCTCCTCCTCCTCCTCCTCCTCCTCCTCCTCCTCCTCGTCCTCCTCCTCCTCCTCCTCCTCCTCCTCCTCCTCCTCCTCCTCCTCCTCCTCCTCCTCCTCCCCCTCCTCCCCCCCTTGCCGCCCAGTGTCGAAGCGCCGCATAAGAAAACGTTCGCCAGACCCGCCCGGCGCTATCTGTTGGCGCCGCGAGGGCCCGGTGGGTCGGCCCCTGGCCTTCTGCGCCGCCGCAGTCCCTGGCCTCCTCCCCGCCCCTCCCCGCCGCGGCCCCGAGGAGAGCTGCTCCCGCCGGAGGACGAGGCACGCCTCGGGGGCGGGGGGGGTCGTCAGGGGCAACGATAGGGGGGGATAGGCAGAGGGGGGGATGCATCGACCCCCAATCGCCCACTGATCGCCGAGAGGGTTCTGATAGCCCCAAGCCGCCCAGGAACGTGCGGATTCACTTTCGGGGGCCTATCGCCGACCTATCGGCGGTGTATCGCCCATTCGAGGTCGATGATTCCCCCCCTGTGCCTATCCCCCCCTGTCGTTGCCCCCCAGATCGCCTGGCGTCGGAAGGCCCGCCTCGGGCTCGTCGCCGACTGGGAGAAGGGTGAGGGGGGTTGGGGCTCGAGAGACGGGGTCCATGCGAACGGTTGTCAACCAGAGCGCCGGATCTTGCAGGATCCCGCAGGGTCGGAGCTGCCTCGGCCCTGAAACCCGGACGAGGAGGAGGACGAGGAGGAGGAGGAGGAGGACGAGGAGGAGGAGGAGGAGGAGGAGGAGGAGAAGGAGGAGGAGGAGGAGGAGGAGGAGGAGGACGAGGAGGGGATGGTGCAGGATCCCTGCAGGATCTCACAGGACCCTGCAGGGCCTGACTGACCCGGGTCTGCACGGCCCCGGGTCCGCAGATCCCCGAGGGGGGTGGGCTCGCCGGCCCGCGGGGCGGCGTCCACGTCAGGGGCAGCGCTGGGATCAGATCGGGCACGCCCCTGCAAGAGGAAGGTCCCAAAATAGTCAGAACACAGTCCGGGGACGATTTTTTGTGATTTTTGTTTCACTTTTTTTATATACTTCTTGATTCTGTCAGTCTATTCGTCCAACATCCGCCTGTGGGAGGACATGCCCGACCTAACGCTAGGGGGGAATAGGGTTCAGGTTGGGAATGTGTCGACCCCCTGTCGCCCACTCATCGCCGATAGGGGCCCGATACCGATAGCCGACCCCGCCCAGGCACTTGCGGCTTCGCTATCGAGAGTCTAACGCCGATCTGTCGGCGCTGCATCGCCGATTCCGGCTCGATGCTTCTTCCTGAGCTGTTTCCCCCGGCCTTCCCCCTCTCAGCGGGGGGCGGGCCGTCGAAGTCTTCCCGACGGAACTTGTCCTTCTGTTCTCGGTCTCCGGGGGGCCTCACCGGGTCACGGGACTCCAGAAGCGACCCGCGATGAGAAGCTGGTCCTTGGGAAACGTCGAGAGATCATGGGGGAAACAGGATTAGGGTGTCGGAGATCTGGGGAGGGCGCAGCTAGAGATGGGACGGATCCAGGATCGAGATGTTCTGTGCGTTTCGGACCTTGCTTGTTTGGGCCTCTGGCAGGCTTTTTTCCGTCGCCACAGTTAGGTGTCAGTCGAGGCGCACCTTTTGGGGAGGTCCGCCCAACAGAAATCCGCGGACGTCTTCTTCTATGTTGCGAAGGCCTTACGGCCAGTGCCGACGACCCTGAACGGCGACGACGACGACGAGGACGACGACGACGACGACCACGACAAAGACGACAAAGACGACAAAGACGACTACGACGAGCGCTCTCGGGTGCCCCTTGGGGGTAGTTTTTGGGGCCTCTTGGGAGGCTCTTGGGGGCCGCTTGGGAGCCTCGTGGGGGCCTCTTGGGGCTTCCTGGGGGTCTCTTGGGGGCCTCTTGGGGCCTCGAGGGCTTCTTAGGGGCCTCTGGGGGCCTCCTGGAACTTCTCAGGCCGAGGGCTCGAAATGACCGTTCGGGTCCCTCGTCCGGGCTCCCTCTTGGAGCCGTTTTGGGAGCCTCTTCGGCTGTCTTGGAGGCCTCTTGGAGGCCTCTTGGGCCATCTTGGGGCGGTCTTGGGTGCCACTTGGCCTGTCTTGGAGCGTCGGGAAGCTGACAGGGCGAGAATGCCGAAATCTTTCAAAAACCTAAGGGAACTCGATGATATTTGCCCCTTGGGGCCTCTTGGAAGTCCTCTTGGAGGCCCATTGGGGCGTTTTGGAAACCTTTCGAGCCGTCTGGAGGCTACTTTGGCGACCTGGACGGATACTTCGGCGATTTGGGGCCCTCGAGCACCGTCTTGGGGGCATCTTGGGGTACTTTTGCGTTCTTGGGGCTTTTCTGGGCTGGCCCCCGAACCGCCCAGGGGGTAGTTGTATCTGGGTGGCGACCCCCCCCAGTGGAGAGTCGTATCTGGGTGGCGCCCCCCCCTGGGACCCCTCCCCTCGGCGGGAAAGGGGTCAAAGTGAAGGGGCAACTCAACTACAACGGGCCTAGGGAAAGGAGAGGGGAGCGGCGAAGGCGACGACGGCGACGACGACGACAACGACCACGACGACAACGACGACGACGACGACGAGTTAAACGGAACAGCCTCTTCCACACGCCGACAGGGTCGGCGGATTTCGGCTTCTTGGGGCAGCTTCCAGGTCCCAGGGCCATCATGACAATGCCCAGCGCGAAGGGGTCAACGGGGCCAGGGCCCACGCGCGAAAACAAGCGCGAAGTCGGCGGCCTGGGTGTGGAGTACATTTGTCGGATGGGGCCGGGACGAGGATGAATCGGTTCCAGAGCATTCCGGAGCGCTCTCGGAGCGTTCCAGAATGCTCTGGGAAGGCCGCGGCGCCCGAGACATCCTCCAGAACCGCCAGATCTCAAAGATCCGATGTATCCTCACCCGGTTTTCCCCTCGTCCTGGCTTCGTCTCTTGAAGTTGGGGGAGGGCGGCTCCCGCGGAGGAGCCGGCGGAGGCAGATGGCTCCACGGGGCAATCGCAAGGGGGGCGTCGTCCGTCGGGCGAAGATGGTGCACGTCGGCGGGGGCCCGCTGTCTTGGCATCGCTCGGACGTGTGCAGGTTATTCTCGGCGAGGGCCATCGAGGAGCAGTCTGGGCCATCTTGCGAAAGACTCTGCGCACGAAGCCGAAACAAGATGCACGGGGAGTGCATGTCCGAGCGATGGCGAGCTGTGGGGCTCTTGGTCATTCGTGCTTCCCGCTCTCGTGCGCCCCCGCGTCCGCTTCGGGGGCAGCCCAGGGACCGACGGACGTCGACTGCCGAGGGGACGGCGACGCCCCCGTGCCGGGCACTGAGTGTTCTGGAGGGAGCTTCGGGCGGTCAGCGACCCGTGCCCGAGATCGCAGAAGACGAAGCGGCGTCGTTGCCGCCCGGCGAGCGCCCCGGGCGCGCGGGCCACGGCACGGCCGTGTGTGCCTTGCCCGTGTTGCGCGGCGAGGGGGGGGAGAGGCAGCGAGGCGAGGGAAGAGGGGGGGAGCCGTAGTGGGTGGAGGGGGGAGGAGGGAGAGGATGCGGATGATGATGATGATGATGATGATGATGATGATGATGATGATGATGATGATGATGATGATGATGATGATGATGATGATGATGATGATGATGATGATGATGATGATGATGATGATGATGATGATGATGATGATGAGGAGGAGGAGGAGGAGGAGGAGGAGAAGGAGGAGGAGGGAGGAGGGAAGCAGCCTCGAGGACGGAAGAGGGCCGAAAAGGGCGCCACCCCCCACCCTGTCTGGCGCCCGCGAGGGGGGAGCGGTAAGGGGCGGAGTTCGAGTAGGGGGTCGACTACGGAATTGATTTGCCCCAAAAATGCGCAGAATGCTTGTTGATCCACGAGCAGTCGATGTATCTGTCGTAGATACGAACATCAATTCTAGAGTAGTTCAATTGTGCAGTTGATCCCTTGCTCGAGGAGTGGGGGGGCAGAAGGAAGGGAGAACGGGGACGAGGATGGTAGGGAGGGTGGTGGCCTTCCCCGCTGCCGACTGGCAGGTGGGCGACGTGAGCTCGGTCTGGCGGCACAGGAACCTGCGCCTCGCCTACATCGCGCAGCACCACTTCACCCACCTGGCGGATCCCTGGCAGGCTAATTACGCCGCGCACCCGCCAGCCCGCGACAGAGTGTTCCATGGCGTCGGCCTGCACAGGACCTCGGGCAGGCTATGTCGAGTCAGCGATCCAGCTCTCGATATTCCCAAGACCCTCAGTGCTTCGACCTATGCGACCACCCTTCGGGTGATAAGGAGGTTCGGGGGTTGGGGGAAAACGAACCAACTGCTGGCACATGCGATGGGTGTGATGATCACGATGCTGGTGACGCGCCCTCGAGTTAGCGACGACACGTGATGACGATGTTGCGCTGCGATGTAATGTCACTATCGTCCCCGCTTTCGATCTCACTCGATGGATTTCACTATCGACCTTGTGTACCAATGGATTCAGCGATCGATTCCACCCCACTATCGATACCACTATCGATTGCAATATCGATCTCACTATCGATCTCACAACCAATGTCACAGTCAAACTCACTGCCGATCTCACTTTTGATATCACTATCCATCCCATTCTACCGATCTTACTATCGATCTCACTATCGATTTCACTATCGATACCAAGGCGGGACACCCCCGGCCACCGCCCGCCCACCGCCGACGGAACACCGACGGGACACCAACGGGACGCCACAGGACACCACGGCGGGACATCCTGGGCCAACGCGCGCCCACCCGGGGAAAGGCAGTCCATTGCATCCGAATCGCCCGAGCGACGGCGGGGTCAGTCTTCTCGCGCGCCCACGCATCTTCGCCTCGCCCGCACGCACGACACGAACACGAAGCCGAAGCCGACTTCCTGGTGAGGGGCTCTCTGTTCCGCTTCGATCTCACCCCCCCAAACTGAGGTCCAGCTGCCTGCGGCAAGACCCGCCGCCGTGCCAGCCCAGCACCTCGGTTGGCGATTGCTTGGGGGGCGCACAGGCGGCCGTAATGTGGGACACCTCGTGTCCCGACGCTCGGGAGAGCCGTGACGGGTGACACACTCGTCCGCGTCGTGTCGGGGGTTCTCTCCTTGTCTTCGTCGTCTCCCTCCCTTTGTTCCGTCATGTTTCTGGCTTTTGTGGGACAGTCTTGGGGGTCACTTGGGGCACTTGGGGTCGTCTGTGGACCCCCCTGGGCCATCCTGGGGCCTTCTTGACCCTCCGGGGGGTCTCTTGCGGCCGTCGTGAGGCAGTCTGTTGCCCGTCTTGGGCGTCGAGGGGCTCTCCGAGACGGTCTTGGGTCCCTCTGGAGGCCCACTTGGGCCTCGGGGCTCTCTTGGGGCAGTCCTGGGCCGTCTAGAGGCCCTCTCGGGTTGTCTTGAGGCCGCCTTGAATGATCATTTAATTGAACGCCCCTGAGGAGGCAGACGCCGCCGCCCCACTTCTGCTGAGGCCGCCTTGAATGATTATTGTAGTGGCCTTCGGCCAGTGCCGCCGATCCGGGTCGCTCGGTGTTATTCTCCAGACGCAGACATTATGGGCGCACACTCAAACGCACAAACTTCTCGGGTTACCTTCGAAAGGGCGTAGGAATGCAGTTGGGTCAATAGAGCCATCTCGCACCAGTGGTTCTATCAACGCCGGGGTGCTTGCAGTGACCGTGTGGACGGGAAATAATAATGGCATGAAAATTCCATACAGGATGCCGATCACTTTGGAAACTCACGATACGTCGTGCACGGAGTCGTGTTACGAAACATGTGGCCTGGACGATGTGGTGCGAGCGGTGGAGGCGAGCCTATCGGCGCAAGGACGCCCTCTTGGGGCGTTTTTTGAGCCATCTTAGGAGCCTGTCAGGGCGTCGTGGGGGCTTCTTGGGGGCTTTCGGAGGCCCTCTTGGAGGCTCTTGGGGCCTCCTGGGGGCCTCGTGGGCTGGAAGGCTAGATTTTTTTCCGCTTTTCGTCCCTCTCTTGGGTCCTCTTGGGGCCGTCTTGGGGGCCTGTTGGGCCGTCTTGGGCGGCTCTTGGGCCGCCTTGGGGCCCTCTTGGGCCGTCTTGGGACTGTCTGGGGGCCTCCTGGGCCGTCTTCGAGCGGTCTTGGGGGCCTCTTGGGCCGTCTTGGAGCGTCGGAAAGCAGAAAAAAGCGACAACCCCAAAAACATTGAAAAAAACAATGGGAATCAACGATTTTTGCCTCTGGGGGCCATCGTGGGAGGCCTCTTGGAGGCCTCTTCAGACGTCGTGGAAGGCTCTTGGGCCGTCTTGGGGCCATCTTGGGCGTGTTCGGGCGATCCTTCGGGGTCTCGGGACTTTCGTAGACCGTCCTCAGAGACTTTTGCGGCCGCGGCCACCCTTCCAGCGCATCCTCAATATTAGAGCCTTCTGTAAAAGCAGCGCCCCGCATCCGCCGGAAACTCGCACCCCCCCCCCCCATCCCCCCTTCCCCGGCAGAGCCACCCCGGCAACCCCCCCAGAGGCTGAGGCTCAGCCTCGAGGCTGTAGCTGAGACTCCTTGAAACTCACACGCCGGATCGGCGGATTTATCACTTCGCTCATTCCGCTGGCCCATCTTGTATCACTGGTGCTACATGTTTGTGTGTTCGCGGCGAGCGAGAAGGAAGAGGACGAGGAGGAGGAAGAGGGGGGATGAGGATGAGGAGGAGATCTCTAGATGGCTTTTTGTGCCAATTTGGAGCGAAACTAGTCATGAACAAGGCGCCTCTTTGGGAGTCTGCTTGGGGTCTTTGGGAGGCTTCTCGGGGGCCTCGTGGCGGTATGTTTGTGATATCCTCGGGGTATCCTGGGAGCCTCTTGGGGCCTCTCGGGGGCCTCCTCGGGGCTTCTTGGGGTCCTCTTGGAGCCTCTCGGGGGCCTCTTCGGGGCTTCTTGAGGTCCTCTTGGGGCCTCCAGGGGACCTCTCTGGGCCTAGAGCTCGAAATGTCAGTTCGGGTGGGTCCCCCGTCTGGGCCCGCTCTTGGAGCCGTCTTGGGAGCCTCTTCGGCCATTTCGAGGCCTCTGAGGCTGTCTTGGAGCCGTTTGGAGTCGTTTTGGGCGATCTTTGAGGCTTTTTGGGCCGCGTTGAGGCGATCCTGGAAGCCTCTTGGGCCGTCCTGGAGCGCCAGTAAGCCGAAAAGGCGAGAACGCCCAAATCTTTCAAACATCTTAAAGACAATCAGTAATTTCTGCCTCTGTGGGCCCTCTTGGGAGGTCTCTTGGAGGCCTCTTGGGCCGTCTTGGAGGCGTTCGGGGCTGTCTGGATGACATCTTTGGCGTCTTGGATCGCTCTTGGACCAGCTCGGACCATGTTGAGGCCACTTGGAGCGCTCCTGAAGCGCTCTTGGGAGCCTGCTGGGACCTGGCCGGGACCTGGCTGGGACCTGGCTGGGACTTGCCCAGGACTTGCGCGGGACCTTGTCAGGGTGCTTTTTGTCCAGGGACCCCAGAGGCGGCCCCGCGCGCGCGAACTAGAATATTGTTAACCAGTTACCAGAATTCTTAGCACGCCTCTGGCCCGTCCAATATTTAGTGGCTCAAGGGCAAGTCCAACATTTCCCATTTTCCATTCCAATTACTCTCCAATTCTTCCTATTCCAACATTTCCCATTTTCCATTCCCATACCCGTACCTTCCGATGACGCGTGGGCCAGGAACACCAGTTGCCGAAACTCTCACCCGAGACGTTCGTCGCCGCTTGTTTAGCCCCCTCCACGAGATGGATGACGACCTCGACTTGTCCCCGCCGCGCCCGGAGGTACATCAGATATCTTCGCCAATGGCACCGGGCACTCCGGAGGAGGCAGCGGCGCAGCCGCCAACGCTCCAGCAGATCGCGAACCTTTTGAAGCAGGAGGTGCAGCCACTTCGGAAGGCGGTGGAGGGCTTAGAGCGCAAAGTGACAGAGATCGGAGGGACCATGGAGGAGAGGATGACGGAGGTAGAGAGCAAGATGGAGAACATGGACGCGCGCCTGACGCACTTGGAAACCAGTTCGGCGGGTTCCCGGACAGATGCAGAAGTGCGAGAACAGTTGAAGATGCTGGAGGCCCAGATCTCGGAGCTCAAGCTGATGGACAACACGCAGAAGAGCAATGGGAACCAATACGAGGAGTACACTGCGGTGGTCGGTGGCCTTCAGACGATCGGCAGCACGGAGAACGCGAAGAAGTGGATAGAGGCGAACATGTGGGACCTCTACGGGCCGCAGCCGGCAGAGGTGTACTCTAAAGGGGAGTTTCGTGGTCTCATCTTCGTTCGATTCAGGAGCCGTGCTGACAGGGACACTGCCGTGAAACTCTTCCGCCAGGCCTCTCTCAAGGAGGGCGGGAACGATATTTGGGCAAAGAGGGACATGGTTCTCCCCAAGCGTATCCTCACGTCTTTCGCGTTTAGCGTCAAACACCTTCTCAAGCAGTGGGGCTTCACGGCCGAGAGCGTCTGGGCGGACCCGGAGGGCACGGTGTGGGTTGGTGCCGATGTGGCGGTGAGCGGGAGGATCGCGGGCAACAAGTTTGAGACCGACTTTGGCACGGGCTGGGAGGAATGGTTCAAGCAGGACGGCTACACCAACTTCCAGGACTTGGTCGCGAACCTCAACGCCAAGCTCGGCAAGATCCCGTCCAAAGGCCTCGGGAAAGGGAAGGGGAAAGGGAAGGCTGCCGCCAAGGGCAGCAAGTAGGGGCGCCAACTGTGCGTGAGCAATGACGTTTCACCTGCAGTATGTGGACATCCAGCTGGCCAAGCCAAGTTGTCACTTTCTGCGGCTCGGGGTGGTCGTTTACGCCCTGCCACGGCTGACGAATTCAACATTGCATCTTGGAACATCGAAGGGCATACAGACTCGAAACAAATTGAGCTAGAATCCATAATGGATAAATTACATATCAAGATCTTGTGCCTACAAGAGACATGGACATCAAAGTCTACCACGTACGTCACGGATTCCGGCTACCTCGTTGTCCTTTCCGGCGGCGCGGGAGACCCAGAGGACGAGCGGGCTGGAGTGGGCTTCATCGTACATCCAAGTTTCAGGCACTCTGTGGTTGGATTTTGCCAGGCGACGGACCGCATGGCATCGCTCAAGCTTCGGATCCCAGGAGGTAAAGCTGTTATTTTCTCTGCATACGCGCCGCACAGCGGTTACGAGTTCCGGCGGCGGTTTGACTTCTTCACGAGTTTGTCAGAATTCGTTTCCACAAGATCCGCTCATGGACCCAAGCTTGTGTTAGGAGACATGAATGCAAAGTTGTATGGCCAACTCGATGGAGAGAGTGACGCGGTGGGGCCCTATATTTTCAAACACCCCCACCAGACGTGCAAGGAAGACGCCAACCGGCACCTCATGGTTGAGATGTGCGAGAATCTGAACATGTGCGTTGCAAACACATTTTTTGACGTGCCGGATCACAACCTTGTCACTAACTACAACGTGGGTACGCCTGCCGGGCTACAAATTGGATCCTCGACGCACTCGCAGATCGATTTCGTACTCTGCGAGAGGACTTTTCTCCGGGACATCACTGGCGTGGCTGCTAGGCACGACGTGCCGTTGTCGACCCATCATTTCTTGTTGACTGCGTGTGTCCGTATGTCAGTTGAGAAGACGGCGCCTGCGAGTCAGAGTCCACGCCTTGATGTCACAGCCCTCTCCGACCCACTCGCCGCTTGTTTTTTCAACGTGAACATGTTGAATGCTTTGGAGGGCTTCGAGGACACAGCAGCTGGAGGCGAGGATGTCGATCTTGGTTGGAGTCGTATCGTGGACGGTTTTCATCACGCTGCCGAACGCACGTTGCCATTCCTTCCGAGGCGGACCACAAGGCCGTGGACGAGCGCCGGAACGCTGGGGCTGATCGAGCGCCGCGGGAGCGCCAGAAGGCAGGGCGACACTGACGAGGAGAAGCGCCTATCGAAGAAAATCCGCGCTTCGGTTGCCAGGGACAAGGCCGCTTGGATCGAATCGGTCACGGAATCCGCTGATTGGAATCAGATTAGGAGGCTCCGGAAAGGCCCTGTCCGCAGACAGGGCAGGCTTCGTGACGTCAACAAGGGCATTGTGGAGACGGACCAGCGTGCTGAGACTCTGGCCGACTACCTCGAGAGGGTGCAGTGGGCAGTCAGACCCACGTCAGTGGCACCGCCAGTTGCTGCACGGATTGCCGACAACGACCTGCCCATCTCCATGGGTGATATCACAGTGGGGGAGGTGAAGGCCGCAGCTGCGAAATTGAAGCGAGGACGCGCTTCTGGCCTTGACGGGGTGCCACCCGAATTCTGGAAAGCAGCGGCGAGCGACGCGGGAGGTCTCCCGAGCTATCTGGCAAAATTCTACACCGACGTTTGGAGACAAGGTAAGATCCCAGAAGCTTGGAGGCATGCGAGGGTGTCGATGCTGTTCAAGAAGGGCGACCCTGCAGAATGCGAGAACTACCGCCCCATCAGTATCTCGCCCATCGGCTACAAATTGTTCGCAACCATCCTGCTCCAGAGGCTGAAGCAGGCGGGGGCCGAAGACCGCATCTGGCGAACCCAATTCGGGTTCCGCTCCGGGCGGGGCACGGCAGACGCAGTGTTCCTAGCCCGCCGGGTGCTGGACGACACATGGTCAACACGAGATGCAAGTCGCTTGTTCCTGGCACTCGACTGGGCCAAGGCATTCGACTCGGTCTCGCCGGACGCGCTCGCCGGGTCTTTGCGGAGATTTGGTTGCCCAGAAGTTTTCGTGGACGTCGTCGTGTCGATTTACAGCGAGCGCAACTTCGTCGTGAGGGACTTCGGGGCCACGTCCAGCATCCATCAGCAGAGGTACGGCATATGCCAAGGCTGTCCGCTGTCCCCTTTTCTGTTCACCATTGTGATGACGACGCTTCTCACGGACGCGCACGCGCTGCTTCAGAGTCGTGCCGGACCGATACCTGAAAACCAGTTTGCGAGGGAGCTCGTGTACGCGGACGACACGTTGCTCATAGACTCCGACCCAGCCCTCGTTCAAGAGCTGATGCGCTGCATTGAGGAGTGCGGGGGCCAGTGCGGGCTGCAGTTCAATTGGGGCAAGTTGGAACTTATGAAAGTAAGGACCGAAGCTGATATTTTGGGACGCAACGAGGTCCCCATCCCAGCCAAGCAATCATTAACTTATCTCGGGACGTCTCTTGCTTCGGACGGGCGCATAGGCACAGAACTGAGTCGGAGAATTGGGGCGGCCAGAAGTGACTTCAAGGTGCTTGCAAGAATATGGTCGCATTCGACTTTGAGTAGGAGACAGAAACTACGTATATTTAATGCTTGCGTTGTTTCCAAACTCACGTATGTATTATTCACTGCGTGTCTTAACCAGGCCGAGCGAAGACGGCTCGACGGGTTCCAGAATTATTGTCTCAGACGTATTTGCAGAGTCTCTCCGTCGTACATCAGTCGGGTGTCGAACCGTGCAGTTCTGCAGATCAGCCAACAGACGCCTCTGAGCCATAGTCTTGCGCGTAGACAGATGTTGTACATGGGCCATTTGGCGAGAAGACCAGACGAAGATCCAGTCAGAAGCTCGGTGTTTGAGCCGGGCGGTCTGGTTCTCAAGAGCCTTCTTGGGAAAAGGAGAAGAGGCCGCCCGAGACAGTCTTGGGGGCCCATGGTGCTGAAGAACTGCTTGAATGTTGCCGGCTCCCATGAGCGACTTGCTGATTACTTCCGCCGAGAGGGCGGTGCAGCTCGCAGGTGGGAGCAGGCGGTCAAAGCATGGGCGGCGTGCTGAAGGCATCCGTTTCCGTGCACATTTTCACCCATTGCTCACGCGCTGTGGCCGGCGCAAGGCTTCTGTTCTGTTCTGTTCTGGCCCGTTGGGCCGGCGAATTTTGCAATCGAAGACGCCTACGGCGAATCACCGCCGCCCTATGATTTTTTGGAAGCGCGCCTTATGTGGCCGAAAATTGGGCTATAGCTATCGGGCCATGTGCTCCTCCGAGCTGTCGTTGACACCTTTCGGGGAACATGTGAGGAAGAGGATAATGAGCAGAATATGTAACAGTGCGTAGGAGGAGGAGGACGAGGAAGGGGAGGAGGAGGAGGAGAAGGAGGAGAAGAAGGACGAGGACGCCTCTTGGAAGCCTCTTGGGGCACTCTTGGGGTCTCCTGGGAGTTTCCCGAGGACCTCTTGGAGGCCTCTTGGGGACCTCCTTTGACCTCTTGGGAGCCTTTTGGGGCTTGCCGCTTTGGCCGTCGTCGAGCGTTCCTGGCCCATCCGAGACGCCGTCGGAAGCCGCCTTGGATGCCTCTCTGAACCGACTTCGGGCCCTCTTGTTGCGCTTCAGGGCCGTCTTGGAGGCCATCTTGGCGTCTTGGAGGCCTCTTGGGCCGCCTTGGGGCCGTCTTGGGGCCGTCTTGGAGGCCTCCTGGGCCTGGGGCCATCTTGGATGCCTTCGGCCACGAAGTGTGTGAGGGGTGTGCCGAAATGGGTGGCGGGAACGCATGCAAACGGTGCAACTTGGACCTTCGGTGGCGCTCCCTATGGAGCCACAGAACGTGTGAGGGATGCGCCGAAATGGGTGGCGGGTGCACGTGCTGACGGTGCCACTGGGGCCTTCGGCGGAGCACCTTACGGGGCCACGAAATGTGTGAGGGGTACGCCCAAATGAAGGTGGAATCTCATGTGGACCCAGCCACTGGGGCCTTCGGTGGAGCACTACGGGGCTACGAAACGTGTGAGTGGTGTGCCGAAAGTTTGGTGGAATCGCATGCGAACCCTAACACTGGGGCCTTCTGTGGAGCTCCCTACGGGGCCACGAAGCGTGTGAGGGGTGTGCCTAGGTTGTGGATGGAACCGCATGCGCACCCTACCACTGGGGCCTTCGGTAGAGCTCCCTATGGGGTGGAGAATCGTGTGATGGGGTGTGCCGCAATGGAGGTAGAACAGCACGCGAACCCTGCCACTGGGGCCTTCGATGGAGCTCCTTACGAGGACACGAAACGTGTTTGGGGTGTTCCGAAATGGAGGTGGAACCGCATGCTAACCCTGTCACTGGGGAGATGGATGTAGTTCCGTTCTGATCCACGAAACGTGTGAGGGATACGTATGCCGAGTTAGGGTTGGAACCGCGTGCCCAATCTGACACTGGGGCCTTCGGTGGAGCTCCCTATGAGGCCCCGACACGTGTGAGGGATGTGCGTGCCGAAATGGGCGTGGAATCGCAAGCGAACCCTGCCATTTGGGCCTTCGGTGGAGCCCCCTACGGGCAACGAAACGTGTAAGGGGTGTGCCGAAAATTTGGTGGAATCGCATGCGAACCCTGCCTCTGGGGCCTTCGGTGGAGCTCCCGATGAGGTCCCGAAACGTGTGATTGGTGTGCCTACATCGTTGGTGGAATTGCATGCGCACCCTACCATTGGGGCCTTCGGCGGAGCTTCCCCATGGGGCCACGAAACTTGTGAGGGATGTGCCGGCCTGGAGGTGGAACCGCATGCGGGCCCTGCCACTGGAGAATTAGATGTAGCTCCTTTTTGGCACACGAAGCGTGTGAGGGGTGTGCCGAAATTGGGGTGGAACCGCAGGGGTGCGCAAATTGGTGATGCTGATGATGATGATGATGGTGATGGTGATGATGATGATGATGATGATGATGATGATGATGATGATGCTGCTGATAATGAAAATGATGCTGCTGATAATGATAATGATGCTGCTGATGGTGATGATGCTGCTGATGATGATGGTCATGCTGATGCTGTTGCGGATGCTGCTGATGCTGCTGATGATGCTGATGCTGATGCGGCTGATGATGATGATGATGGTTGGGGTGGTGGTGATGATGATGATGCTGATGCTGATGGTGATGATGGTGATGATGATGCTGATGGTGCTGATGATGATGGTGATGGTGATTCTGCTGACGATGCTGTTCATGATGATGATGATGATGCTGCTTGATGGTGGTGGTGGTGATGATGCCGCTGATGATGCTGATGTTGATAATGCTGATGATGATGCTGATGCAGATGTTGATGCAGATGACGATGCTGATGTTGCTGATGATATTTAATATGATTGTGACGGTGATGATGCTGCTGACGGTGTTGATGCTGATGCTGATGATGCTGCTGCTGATGATGCTGATTAAGATGATGCGGATGATGATGGTGGTGGTGATTATGATGCTGATGATGACGATACTGACGTTGACGGGGAGGATGGTGATGCTGATGATGCTGATGCTGTTGATGATGATGGTACTGGTGATGCTGATGACGATGCGTTTGATGGTGGTAATGCTGATGATGATGCTGACGATGATAATGTTGATGCCGATGCTGATGCTGCTAATGCTGATGAGGATTATGCTGATGCTGATGACGATGGTGCTGATGATTATGATGATGCTGATGATGACGATTTTGATGATGATGCTTACGCTGATGGCGACGATGCTGATTATGATGCTGATGATGATGCTGCTGATGATGATGCTGGTGCTGATGATGATGCTGATTACGATGATGCTGCTGCTGATTATGATGCTGATGGTACTGCTGCTGGTGCTGCTGCTGATGATGATGATGCTGATGATGCGTATGTTTATGACAAGTACGCTGATGACGATGGTGATGATGCTGATTCAGATGATGCTGATGATGATGATGCGGGTGATGATGGTGGTGATGATGATGATGATGATGATTATGATGATGATGATGATGATGATGATGCTGATGATGATGCTGCTGCTGCTGCTGCTGATGATGATGATGATGATGTTGATTGTGCTGATACTGATACTGCTACTGATACTGGTACTGATACCGATACTGGTGATGTTGACGGCGGTGGTGATGTCGGTTATTTTTGGATGATGGTGTCCATGAGGGCATGCGAAGGGAAGAGGAGCGGGAACGTGGGGCGCTGCCTCTTCAATCTGAGGGCCCAACACCATAGGATGATTGGGACTTTTGACGGTCTAAGAGAACTTACTCCGTATACCTAATAATTAGACTGGCGAAGGACCCAACCATGTGCAGTTGTGGGTGCCGTAGTTGTGAGTATTGTCTTCGGTGGAGCTTCCCACGGGGCCACGCAACGTGGGAAGGGTGTGCCGAAATGTGGGTGGAACCGCATGCGAACCCTGCCACTGGGGCCTTCGGCGGAGCTCCCTGAGGGGCCACGAAGCGTGAAAGGGGTGTGCCGAAATTGGGGCGGATCTGCATGCGAGCTCTGCCATTGAAGACTTCGGTGGAGCTCCCTATGCGGTCACGAAGCCTGTGAGGGGTGTGCCGAAATTGGGGATGGAACCGCATGCGAACCCTGCCACTTGAGGCCTTCGGTGGAGCTCCTATTGGGCCACGAAGCCTTTGAGGGGTGTGCCGAAATTGGGGCGGAACCGCATGCGAACCCTGCCACTGAAGCCTTCGGTGGAGCTCCCCCATGGGGCCACGGAACGTGTGAGGGGTGTGCCGAAATTGGGGGTGGATCCGCATGCGAACCCTGCCACTGGAGCCTTCGGTGGAGCTCCCTGTGGGGCCACGAAACGTGTGAGTGTTATGCCGAAATGGAGGGTGGAACCGCATGCGAACCCTGCCACTGGGGCCTTCGGCTGAGCTTCCTATTGTGTGAGGTGCGCAAGAGGTGGGAGGAGCGGGAGGAGGGAGGAGGGGGAGGAGAAGGAGGAGTGTGTGAGGAACGCGGGGCGTTGTCTCTTCAAAACGAGGGCCCAACATCATAGGGTGGTTGGGACATGTTCTTGAATTCCTGCAGAGAGTCCACGGGGACCTAATACAGATTACACCCGCAAAAAACGACAATCGGTGGATCGTTTGAAACGACAGAGAGATCGATAGTGTGATCGATAGCGAGGACGATCGTGAGGTCGACCGTGAGACCGATAGTGAGGTCGATTCAGTCAGATCGATAGTGAGATTGATCGTGGGATCGCTCGTGCGATCTATAGTGAGATTGATTGAGATCGATCGTGAGATCGATTGTGAGATCGATAGAGAGGTTGGTGATGAGATCGATGGTGAGACTTATCGATAAGGGGTTCGACCAGGAACCCGGGAGCCCGGAAACTGGGGAACCCCGCCGCCCACCGAAATTGGCTCAGGACCAACAATAACCAGGGAACCCAGAATTGGGAACCTGGGCACCCGGTCGCCTACCGAAATCGGCCGGGCTTTTTCGCCAAATCTTTCAGCATCTGTTAGGACCCCTTCAGTGCAAGCGCTGATTCTGGAATCTGGCAAGGAAGTCTCAGGCGAAACGCCGGGCCCGCCCCGCGCCAAATCGTATTTCTGCGACAGACCTTGCGACGTCGGATAGGAGTGTAGGCCCTGAGCGCCATCATGCGAGCATACGTGCCATGCTGCAGGAGCAGACACTCCCGAGGGAGGGCCTGCCGTCCCATCTACGCATCTCCAGCGCCCCTGACGCGTCGGGGGGCCGGCGGGCTTCATGAGGAGCACCCCGCTGCACTACATGCAGACTCGCTTCCGGCAGGGCTGGGATGAGGAGGCCCAGAAGCGCCTCATGCTGCCCCAGAGCCCCGAGGAGGAGGAGTACCGGAAGGACGGGGGCCGGGCTTCAAAGCTGCGTGCCGAGCTGGGGCAGAGCGGCCCCCCCCGCGGGCTGACGGCGACCCACGCTGTGTATCCTTGAATGCGGGTCCCGAGCCACCTCACAGCCAGCTTTTCCTCCCATGCAGTCAACCCGCACAGTAAGGATGGGCAACCTTCCCCAGGATGCCCTTGCGTCCTCGCCTCCTCGGTCCATCCTTGGCCACTTTCGTTGGCCGCGCCCCGCTCGAAGAGCTTGGAAACGGCCTTCCAGAGCCCTCGCATCCCTATCGTGCCTCCTCATTACACGGGCCGACTGCAGTGGCCTGTCCGCAAGGGTCCTGGGTCCTGCGTGATGTGTCAGGCCGCGCGTGAGGGTCCTTCCAAAGCCCTCGCCTCCTCATCGTGCATGCTTATTCTACGGGTCGGCTGCATTGGCCTGTCCGCAGGGGTCCCGCGTGAGGTGTCAGGGCACGCGTGAGGGTCTTTCAGAGCCCTCGCCTCCTCATCGTGCCTGCTCATTACACGGCCCGTGGTCTCCCTTTGTGGTCTCCCGCGCGGTCTCCCGCACGAGCAGCCGTGTGTCCACACGCACACAGGAGGGGAAAAACACACACAGACACAAGTCATCGTCGATCCCCCAGAACATATGGGAAACTATGGGAAGTGGTGGGGAAGACAAAGACCCAGGAAGTATAGGAAAATATAGGGAATCTTTTTATTTGTGTGTATTTATTTGTGTGTCCCAGGGCCCCTTCACACACACACACACACGCTTCACGCAAGCAGAGCAGGGCGAGCTGAGACGACGGTTCGACGGCGAGCGAGGGAGGGGATTGAGAGGGAGAAGGCCTTCTCAGACGGCGGCGGGACCTCTCAGAAGGCCTCGCGCCTTCTGAGAGGTTTTCTCTGTCTTCTGGGCAGGCTTGGACAACTTCTCAGAAGTCCGGGGGACTTCCGAGCCTTCTGAGAAGGCACGCCCCTTCTCACTTCCCCCCTGGCTCGCCGCCTAACGGTAGTTGGCCTTCGTGGGGGGCCCTCGTCGCTACCGCTGGACGCAGCTCGACAAGCTGGTGCGCTAGTGGGTCTGGGGACCGATTTTGAGCTGCCGTTGTTTCAACTCGCCCTGCTCCGACACAAGCACATTCGCACGCACACGCACACACATGCACACGCCTGTTGGAATCTACTTCTGAGTTGTTCTTGAGCTTCTTGCGTCCCAGAGGAGATGGCTGTCAAGCACGGCAAGCGGGGCAAGGAGGTAGAGAACCTTCTTTCCAGGAGGAAGGAGGGCAAGCGGATCCTCTACGAGGTCAAGTGGAAGGGCTCGAGCCGTAGATTTGAAAGCAATTCCAAGCAAGCGGGCCCCTGGACTGACGATGTCGGGGCTGATTTTGCAGTCAACGCGCGTAGTAAGGACGCGCGCCTTTTCTAGGGTACTCTTGCGTCCTTGCCACTGCGGCCCGTCCTTTGCTGTTTTCACTGGTCGCCCGTCGCCCAAAACTCCCAACTTCGGCCTCCAAGGGTCCGGCGTCCTTACCACCCATCCTTAAGATACGTTTTCACTGTATGTTCCCATGTTGGTTTTCTCGACGTTCAGGCCTCGTTTCAACGGAGTGCTTCGATGGTCCACTTCTCGCCTGCTCGGAGATCTCCTCGGAGTCTCTCAGAACCCTGCTCTGGCGGATGTCCCTTCATTTCAGTTCCGTTCCACCGGAGCGACGCAAGACAAAGGGGTCGTCTGCGCCGACATCGGCGCGTAAGCTGCCCCTTGGCGTCGCTCGGACGTGTGCATTTGTTCCCGGCGAGGACCATCGCGGAACATCTTGGATCATTTATCGAAAAAATTAGCCTGGCGAAGGACCCAACCATGTGTAGTTGTGAATACCGCAATTGTGAATAGCATCTTCGCCCGCGCTCCCTATATGGCCACGGCTTCCCGCCGGAGCCCGACATGCTCAGGGACACGTTCGTGGCCGTTTTCGCGGGCGCCGACGACGACAAGGACGGCGTCCCTCTCACCGAGGAGCAGAGCCAGGAGAGGGCCTTGAGAGCCATGGGGGAGGAGGTGGCGTTGCACGTCGACAAGGCGGAGTACGACGCCCAGGCGCGGTTGTTGAAGCTTTGGGGCCACGATCCTCGTGAGGGGTGTGCCGAAATGGCCCGGGGCCGCCATGCGAACCCTGCCACTGGCGCGTTCGGTGGAGCTCCCAATGGGGCCACGATCCTCGTGAGGGGTGTGCCGACATGGCCCGAGGCCGCCGTGCGAACCCTGCCGCTGGGGGCCTTCGGTGGAGCTCCCTACGGGGACACGGTCCTCGTGAGGGGTGTGCCGAAATGGCCCGAGGCCGCCGTGCGAACCCTGCCACTGGCGCCTTCGGTGGAGCTCCCTATCGGGCCACGATCCTCGTGGTGGGTGTGCCGGAAAGGCCCGAGGCCGCCATGCGAACCCTGCCACTGGGGGCCTTCGGTGGAGCTCTCTATGGGGCCACGACCCTCGAGACGGGTGTGCCGAAATAGCTCGAGGCCGCCATGCGAACCCTGCCATTGGGGGCCTCCGGTGGAGCTCCCAATGGGGCCACGATCCTCGTGAGGGGTGTGCCGACATGGCCCGAGGCCGCCGTGCGAACCCTGCCACTGGCGCCTTCGGTGGAGCTCCCTACGTGGCCACGATCCTCGTGATAGGGTGTGTTGCAATCGCCCGAGGCCGCCATGCGAACCCTGCCGCTGGGGCCTTCGGTGGAGCTCCCTATGGGGGCCACGATCCTCGTGAGGGGTGTGCCGACATGGCCCGAGGCCGCCGTGCGAACCCTGCCACTGGCGCCTTCGGTGGAGCTTCCTACGGGGCCACGATCCTCGTGAGGGGTGTGCCGAAGTGGCCCGAAGCCGCCATGTGAACCCTGCCGCTGGCGCGTTCGGTGGAGCTCCCAATGGGGCCGCGATCCTCGTGAGGGGGGTGCCGAAATTGCCTGGGGCCGCCATGCGAACCCTGCCACTGGGGCCCTCGGTGGAGCCCCCAATGGGGCCACGAAACGTGCGAGGGGGGATAGTGGTGATGACAGCGATGATGATGACGATAATGCGATGAGGACGTCATGATGATGGTGATGATGTTGATGGTGCTGATGATGATGGTGATGGTGATGATGATGATGATGATGATGATGATGATGATGATGGTGATGATGATGATGATGATGATGATCATGATGACGATGATGATGATGATGATGATGATGGTGATGGTGATGATGGTGATGATGGTGATGATGATGATGATGATGATGATGATGATGATGATGATGATGATGAAAGGAGGGGGGAGGGGGCAGCGGGAGGAGGAGGTGACGCGGGGCGCTGTGTCTTCAAAACGAGGACCCGACACCACAGGATGGTTGGGAAAAAAACACGCACGAGCTCAACAAATGCACGGGGAATGGACGTCCGAACGATGGCGAGGCCCGCGCAATGTCGCACGTGAGCGCCCTCGTCTCCAGCGTGGCGTGCCGCGCGGGCGGATCGCGTGAGCTGCGACGTCGGCTCGCTGCGTCTTCTCGTGGAAGACTAGCTTTTTTAATCGTCGCTCACTGGGGGTTCGGCGTCGCTCGGACGTGTGCATTTTTTTCGGCGTGGACCATTGAGGAGAATTGAGGAGCATTTTTGATCATTTGGCGAAACATGCGCGCACGAAGTCGAACAATGCACGGGGAATGGACGTCCGAGCGATGGCGAGGGGGGCGTTCACGGATTCCTCGTCGCCAGTGCTGGGCCCGCTGTCGCCCGACCGCGGTTCGCACACGGAAGCATATGCGAGGTCTGCCCGGTGGCCAGGCAGCCGCTCGTGTGTGTGTGTGTGTGTGTGTGTGTGTGTGTGTGTGTGAATGTGTGTGTGTGTGTGTGTGTGTGTGTGTCTCGCGGCGCGCCTCCCTCCTCTCGGGCCGAACGAAAGGGGGGGATTGGGAAGGGGGGGGTGTCGAAATCTGCTGCATGCAGCTGGTTTCGGCCCCGCCGCTGGGCCCGTTCCTCGATACATAGTCGCCCCCGGCGCCGGGAGGCACCGGGAAAACCAGCAACGTGAGCTGATTCTCGAACCCCCCCTTTGCTATCCCCCCCTTTCGCCCGGCCCGATCCTCCTCTCCGTGTTCGGCACCGTGAGGTGTCACGCGTGCTCACCCGGGCAGGACTGGTCAGGGGATGGCGAGCTCATGCAGTGCAGCGTCCATCTCTTGCTCATCCTCCGACCTGGAACTGCTCGCTGTCGTCTTTTCGCTCGATGCTCCACGGCGTTGGCCCCCCCCCCTCTCCTCACACCGCCTCCCTTTCTCTGATCCTTCCTCCCGGCACTCGCCCTCCTCTTCTCCCTCGCCCTGCCTCCTATCTCCCCCTTCCCCGCTCTCCCCTCCCCGCTGCCCTCCTCGTTCTCGTCCTGCCCTTCGGCATGAGAGCGACAATGAGTAACGCCTCGCGCATCAACACGAGCCCATCCAGAAACGATGCCCAGGCAAGCTTCCTTTATCAGGCAAGTGCAGGGGCAAACCATAAGAGCCAAACCGAAGATCGGGATCAGCCTGAGCAAATCCACGAATCAGACGTGCATGTCTTCGCGGACCGTTTTCTGTCGGAGTTTCTTGGTATGTTCCTTGGGCCGTGTTGGAGCTCTCTTGAGGCCATGTTGGATGCCTTTACGGCCCTCTTGGGTTCCTTTTGAGTTCGTTGGGGGCCCTCTTGGGGTCATCTTGCAGGACGTCGATCAAAGAAGGTGACGTCTCATTTAACCATGCCCCTCTGAAGTCCCCCAACATGCCTCCTTGGGCGCTTGGGCGCTATTGCCGCCGTTTTCGGGCCCTAGTGGGCCTCTTGGGCTCTCTTGGGCCATCTTGGAGCCATCCTGAGGCTTCAAAAGCCCCTCAGAAGCGAAAGTGCGAGAAGGTAACCATCATTGATTGTCCTCAGGTTTTTGATGGATTTTGGACCCTCTGGGGCAATCTTGGGAGGCTGCCTGGTCAGTTGGGGCCGTCTTGGAGGGGTCTTGGGATCATTTGAAGAAATGCTGGAGGCTATCGTGAGTCATCTTGGAAACCCTCTTGGACTTTCTTATGCCTTCTTGGACCATCTTGGACGCTATGATCGCCCGGGCCCGCCCCCGTCCAGACCCAGGGGTAGGGGGTAGGGGAAGGGATACGCCCTTGCCCGAAGGGGATGAAAGAAGGGGGTGGGGTGGAAGAGGAAACGCGTTAGACCACCTCCTCCCAGAGTTTCCATACCGTTGCTTGCTGACGATCATGTTCTAAGAAAGGGAAGGTTCGGGAAGGCAGCACGGTCCGTGGAGAAGCATGCAATCTACCCCATGTGGGGGAAGGGGAACGAGTTCGCCGTGACCGCGGGTGCGGCCGCCGCGCCTCTCGACTGTCCGCTCGCCTAGGCCTGGACGATGCCAAGCAGAACACCTACGAGAGCGTGCAGAAGCTGCGGCTCCTCGGGGTCGAGAAGATGGCCGCCGCACTCGACGACCGCCTAGCCTGTGCAGAAACCGGCTTGAGGCCCGCGGCCCCCGCCGAGCCTATCGCTGAAGGATGTGCACCCTGCGCGCGCAGCAGAGCAGGCGCGGCATGTGATCTTCTAACGCGGGCGCTGTGGGCCACGAGAGCGTCACGGCCATCGAGCAGCGACAACCGA